TTGGATAGTAGTGGAGGTGATGTCAAGTACTGCTTCAGGTCCTGAAATTGTTTATCGCATTCATTGTCTCACTTGTCCTTCTGCGTTTTTTTTTATTGCCTTGAAAAAGGGTTTGCATCGGTCGGTAGATCACAAAAGGAAACAATTGAGTGCAGCTGCTCGTCCGGCAGACTTTGGATCTCTTTCAGAATTATGGGTGATTTCATGTCCAGGATCGCTTTGATCTGCCTTGGATGAGCCTCGATTCCTTGTTGGGTTAAAGGGTACCCTAAGAATTAGCTTGAGGAGACGCCAAATGTGCACTTGGCTGGGTTGAGCTTCATGTTGTATTCTCGGATAATGCAACAATTTCTACCAAGTTGCGAGTGTGGTCTGACTGCTGCTTGCCTTTCACCATAATGTCGTCGACGTAGACTTCCATGGTGACCCTAATCTGCTTCTTAAACATCGTGTTTACAAGTCATTGGTAAGTTGCTTCTGCGTTCTTGAGGCCAAAGAGCATGACCTTTGTAGCAATATGTGCCTCACTCGATCACGAATGTGGGCTTTTCTTTGTTAGACTTGTGCATGGCAATCTGATTATAGCCTGAATACGTGTCCAAGAAGCTGAGCAGCTGGTTCCCAGATGTTGAGTCAACGAGTAAGTCAATTCAGGGAACCAGGTAGTTATCTTTAGGGCATGCCTTGTTGAGATCGGTGTAATCCATGCATACTCTCCATTTGCCCTTCTCTTTTTTCATCACTAGCATAACGTTGGCCAGCCACGCTGAGTGTGCCACTTCCTCAATGAATTCGGCCTCTAGTAACTTGTTGATTTCCGCCTCAATGATCGCTACTCACTCGAGTGCGAAATGTCACCTTTTCTGGATCACAGGTTTGGCAGCAGGATCGATGTGCAGCTTGTGACAAGCTATTATTGGATTAATGACGGGCATGTCAAAGGGTGACCATGTGAAAACGTCACGATTTTCCCTAAGGAAAACTGTAACCTCTTCCTTTTCTGCTAAGCTCAGAAGTGAGCCGATTCTAGCTGTCTTTTCCAGCTAGTGAGGGTCTCCTTGAGAACTTGTATAGTGCATCGCCTGGACATGGCCTGGTCGCCTTTGATCTCTCCGACTGCTCCTCCCGGGATGCAGAATCAAATTTTCTAATACTCAATTGATGTCACAGCTCCAATCTTCACTAGCCAGAGACGACCTAATATCCCGTTGTGAGAAGATAAGTTGTTGACGATCATGAAGGTCTGCGATGAGATAATCAGTAGGTTGGTTACGTCGAGTTTGATAGTGCCAATGGTAGTTGAGGTGAGTCCGTTGAATCCGGTCAATACCTCTGTTTTGTGTTTGATTGTGCTTTCCAAGCCCATCTTTTGGATGACTGAAATTGTAAGAGGTTTACTGAGCTGTCATTGTCCATCATGACTTTGTCAACGATGGCGTGGGCCAATTGTATAGAAATCACCAGGGCGTCGTCGTAGGGAAAATTTACTCCTTCAGCATGCTGTTCGGTGAAGCCAACGATTGGTCCAGGTACAATATCTACAGCTTGAACCTGATTAACCGATCTCATCTGCTGGATCTTCCTCTTCTTGGAGTTATTGGTGGCCCCCAAATGCTCGGATTCAGCAGAATTATGTCGATTTAGATTGTCTTGGTTGGGGTTTCGGCATCGGCATCTGCTTCTCGCCTTGGTCGGGCAACTAATCTGTCGACAAACTGGTCGCACTTGCCGTCCTTCACTAGCTGCTCAAGGTACCTTTTCCATGTGGTACAATCATTGGTTGTGTGCCCAGGACCTCTGTGGAATGCGCAGTATTTAGTCTGGTTCATCTTGAAGATGTCGCCCCTTAAAGGTGACGGCGGCTTAAACTATGGCTTGTCTTTGAGGTTCTGAAGGATTTGGCTGATTGGGACTAAGAACTTGGTGTGCGTCTTGGGCGTTGTGCCTCCCTTTGTTGGGGATCGGTCCTTGCATTTGTGTCCTGGCTTGCTTTTGTTGTTGAGCAGTTTATCGCTCACCTTCTTCTGAGTCAGTTCCGCATCTTTGCACGGTTTCTCAAATAGCTTCTAGGAGTGCTTTTCCTTATCCCAGAGGGAGTGCTTTTCTGCCAAAGCATAAGAGTTTGCCAGGGACATGTTCTTGCCCATAATCAACTCTCCAAAAAGCAGGTGATGTGCTGGAAGACCCTTTCAGAAAACTGAACATGAGATGCTGTCATCGCATCCGACAATCTTTTCTATCTCCTCCTTGAATCTTTTGACGTAAGTGCGGAGTAACTCCACCGGGTCCTTATGTTAAAGAGGTGGTCAGACTTCTTTTTGATCAAGCGATAGGACAAATATTCCTTAGTGAAAACCAAGGAAAGTTCGCTGAAGTTTCGGATTGAGCGTGGCGGGAGGGTTTGGAACCAATCTTATGGCTCGCCTTGGAGCATCATGGCAAAGATCTTGCAGATGTGAGTGTCATTGTTGGCGTAGAGTATCATGGCACTTCGGTAGTGCATCAAGTGCCTATCCGAACCTTCATCTCTCTTGAATAAGGTGAAATATGACGGGCTGAACTTCCGTGGTGGCTCCAACTGCTTAATCTCATCTGTAAAGGGTGACCTGCTCTCGATCTCATCTGTAAAGGGTGACCTGCTCAAATTGGCCACATCTCTACGAAGGGCATCGTCGGTAGTGTCAATGCGCTGGAATCCATGCAGATGCTCTACTACGAGTCTTTGTACTTCCTCCTAGATTTGTGCATGGTGTAGCAGTAGAGCCTCCAGTACCCCCGGTGTTGATATGCCGATCCACATTGCTCTTCACCATGTCTTGCTCGTCTAGGTTACGGTTGCAATGCACGTGGTTCATGATATGCTACTCACCGTCGCGCTTAGCGAGGGCTGCCAGTGGAACTCAAGCTGGACTGTTCTCGTGCTCTCTTCTGGGCGTCATGCGGCTGCCTACTCCATTGCCTCGTAGGAGGATCTCCTTGTGGGCCTAGTTTCATGTGGACGCTTCGCCTGGAATGTCTTGTGTGCTCGTTGGAGTGTGGACCCAACCTCGAATGCACACTGACTCGTGAGCCAAGTCAGGAATGAATGTTTATCTGTGCATTTAGGCAGGATAAGACGTTTCCCCTAAGGCCCAAACAAGAGTGCACACTACCCAAACGCACGATTCGTGGTTGGCTGAACGGCTCTTTGCGGGGACGCCGCTGGAATGAGCCAAGTTCTTCCGCCCTTATCCTACTTTGGGGCACTTCATCTGGGGCGCACTGCATCTCGATGCACTCGAGGAGTTGGTTCACCAAGGTAGTTTGCTACACGAGCACGTTCGTCCAATTGGCGACCTGCTAGGGCAGGTGACGCTTGCCATTTGGATTGGAAAAGCATGGAAAATGGGCGTTTCCAAGTGTGGTGGAAGTATAGTGGACTGTAGATACAAAGCTTGAGCCCAAAGCGGGCATTCTTGCAGAAAAGTGAGGTGTAAGTAACCCTGAATTGATTGTGGGACCTGTGGTAGGAATTTGGATCGCTGGAGGTGGCCTCAAAATGGATTAGGCCACGGGCTAGGTCGTCGGAGCGGGTCGCAGGGCTCATTAGACCGGTGCCTGCTCGTCTTTGGTCTGCATGGCCATAAGCCCTCTTGGTTGTTGGGCTGCCACATCATGGCCTGGGCCCGTTGAGCTGCCTGGCTGGCAGCAGCTACCGCATTCTGGGCTCGGTTTGGGCCTGCCATGGAACAAGACCTACTACTACAGTGGGCTGGGCTTCCTGCCCAGGGCTTGCTGTGGTAGCTGCTAAGTTTTAGGCCTTCTGCCCATGGGCTTGGAAGTGGACCTGGGTCTCCTACCTAGGGTTTGGTAGGGTGCAGCATTGCAAGGGTGGAGGTGGTGCCATGGCCTAGTAGGTCACAGTAATGGTGATAATGGCGCGGCTTTGCGGCGGTGGGGTTCCCCCTTCCACCTCATTAAGCCTTGAGGACCTCCGACGTGGGGCTATGTCCTCGTCTCCACTTTCCAGTCCAAATCCTTGAACGTACGGGGTTCTATTCGTCATAGTTTTTGAATTTCCTACCATTGTATCCTTTCTCCGTCGATTGATCAAGAAACTTTTCTAGGAAAAATTAATTGATACGACGTGTGAGAAATTCAACGTAACAAAAAATTCAAGAAACAAATGCGAGAGGCTTCTTCGAGTGTTTTGAATCAGCTCTCAATGAAAGCACCAATTTGTCGATGCAAATTTCCGTCATCTTCAGTCTTGACAAAAATGTACTTGCAAAACAATCAACACCTTTGATTAGAGACCTAAACCTCACGTGCCCACGAGTTTTTTTTTTGGGGGGTGGGGTAGGTCAACTAATCTTCGATGCCTAAGTTAGTTTCTTTAAGAGAGTAAAGTGTTTAGAACTTTTTTAGGGTTGCAAAAACCCTGAAAATTTGGTAGAATATGGGGTATTTATAGGGCTAGAGGCCGGCCATATAGTGTTTAATGGAGATATATTCTCTAAATATTCCCAAGATATATAATAAGAAATAATATCTTCAGACAATAGGGTAATTATCCCTAATTGATTTAATTTAGGATTACTTGATTAGAGTTAATCTTTAATAAGGAATGTATTAACGATAGGATTTGGGTAATTAATTCTTATATTTAATTCCTTGCCAAGGGCAGATGAGTTGTGGGACTGTATTCAGCTATTAAGGCCTCCAATGGTGTGAGCTGAGTGTGGAAGTATCTAAAAAGTTTGCCCATTTATTGAGGACAATCTTGTTTTTCATGAATAAAAGTTCATATGTCGTCTTTAGAACATTTGGAATTATTTTAGACTCTACAAAATATTCAAAAAAATTACTCTAAATTTAATCTTCTTAGTATTATTTCATAAATAAATAAATAAATAAAAACACTCAATCCAGCAAGACATGCCAAGAAAGATAAAAAAAAAAATAGTGAGCAATTCAACTCCCAATTTGCCCCTTCCCCACACCGAACGACAACAACTTGAGTATCGTTCAGCCACCCTTCACTACTTAAAAGTTGAAACACACAAAAAAGCACTTCATTTCCTCGTCTTCTTCATCTGTTTTTGAGCAAACTCCCAACCCGACAATGGCCGGCGCCACCACTCTGTCTCTCTCTCCAAACCCAAGCTTCACCACCTCCTCCTCCCACAAACCCTCTCTCTCTACCCCCAACTTTCTCAAATTCCCAACCCTATCCCCCACCCCCATCAAACCCCTCACCCACGCTCCCCAATCCCAACTCCCAATCTCACGTGCCACCTTCACCACGCGCGCAGCCGCCTCCACAACCCCATCTACCACATTCCACGGCCTCTGCTACGTCGTCGGCGACAACATCGACACCGACCAGATCATCCCCGCTGAGTACCTAACCCTGGTCCCCTCCAACCCCTCCGAGTACGAGAAGCTCGGGTCTTACGCGCTCTGCGGCCTCCCCGCCTCCTACTCCACGCGCTTCGTGGATCCGGGAGAGACAAAGTCCAAGTACTCGATCATAATCGGGGGCGCCAACTTTGGGTGTGGGTCGTCGCGGGAGCACGCGCCGGTGGCGCTGGGAGCGGCGGGAGTAGCGGCGGTGGTGGCGGAGTCGTACGCGCGGATCTTCTTCAGGAACTCGGTGGCGACGGGGGAGGTTTACCCGCTGGAATCGGAGGGTAGGGTTTGCGAGGAGTGCAAGACGGGGGATGTGGTGAGCATTGAGTTGAGCGAGAGCCGTCTGATCAATCACACGACGGGGAAGGAGTACACGTTGAAGCCGATCGGGGACGCGGGCCCCGTGATTAGGGCTGGTGGGATCTTTGCTTACGCTAGGGAGGCTGGGATGATTCCTACTTTGACTTCTTAGGTTTTGTGTGTTTGACTTTGATAATTTGGGGTTTTTAATTAATTTGGGTTTTGTTTTTTTGTGTATGGTGATTAAGCTTAATGTTGGTGTATTATGAATTTATGATCTTGAAATAAAAGGAGTTTGTTTTGTTAGCACAAAACCGACATTAAGAATTAGGCCGTTTGATAACTATTTGATTTTTCGGTTTTTAAAAGAAAATGATTGTCAAACAGACTTAAACAAGCAAGGCTCCTCAAGTTTACTGGTACACAGATGGTACTGATTTCTTTCTGGATCTGGCTTCTCTGCCCTTCCACTTTCATACACTCTCATCCCCGGACCTGGCTTCTTTGCCCTTCCATTTTCATACACTCTCATCCCCTCCTATTTAGGCGGTCACGATTAAGTTACGTTAATATTTTATATTGATTTTGACAAAAAATAATAATAATATAAAATATTGATGTGACTTAACTATGACCATACAAATAAGAGGAGATGAGAGTGTATGAGAGCAGCGAAGCCAGGTCCTTTCTTTCCAGTACGCAGACAAATTAACTGCACAAAACATGTTCTGAAGTGGTATCAATGGTTTGTTAATCTCAAGTTCTTAGGTTCAAGTGTTCCAAACGTGTTGTAGCAAAATTGGCTGGACGGGACCTAGAGTGGATGTACATTTTCTATACACCCGAATTTGAATCTCTTTCCTGTAATTTAGATTAGTTTGAAATAAACTGTCATTGCTCCGTATTAAAAGAGAAAAGAAGATGAAAACAGCATTCTTTTTCTAAATGTAACAATTAATCAAGGAATGATTGGGAAATAGTAACTCTAATACTAAAATAAAACAAGTAAATAACGAGACATCATTACGACATGCACATAGGTCAAGCTTCCCTGTAATCATACTATCTTCCAATCATCCTGCAACCATCCGAACAAGACAAACCAACGATCCTAGTTTCTTTTCTTTCGGTCTGGATTTGGCTGTTTGATTGTGTAAATCTCAGAAGCTAGTGCAGCTGGGTGCTCTGAATTTGGTTTTTTTTTTTTTTTTTTTAAACAAACGATATTATCTACTTTAAAGAAAGAGGTGAGCTTAACCTCACTAATAAGCTAGTAAAAATGTGGTTCAAATTCGTCTTTAGCGAGAATCAAACTTAAAAGGTTTTTGAGTGAAACATACAAGATTCTAACACTAACTGCTGGATAAATTTGATAAATCTAGAATACAAGGCACAACTCTTAATCAAAATGATTTATATGAAACAGATTTCGTAATACATACGGTCCTGATACACTAAACTATGACATATGTTGACAGACATATATCACTGCCTTATTTGAACGGAAATCCATAATAACAGTGATCCAGTTATATGCAAGTTGCTCTCTACATCTGGAATAACTTTGACAAACACGATTCTAACACTAACCAGTGGATAACTTTGATTAGTCTATCACTACTAACAAGTAAGATTTTCTCCCCTCTTGTTCTCATCTTCTTCACTTCCTTCCTTTCACATTTTGGTTTTTTTCTTTTTAACGTTATTAAAAATTCAATATAAAATATTAACGTAATTTAACTATAACCGTTTAAATAATAGGGAAAGAAAGAGAAGAGATTAAGATAACCGTTTAAATAAGAGGGAAAGAAAGAGAAGAGATTAAGAGTACAGACAATCCTCCTCCCGTTGTTGATCAAAGTTTCAGTCTAATGCCAGATCAAACATATATTAACATTCAAACAATGTATGCGTTTTCTTATCCTCCTGTCGAGTTCAAAAACCAAATAATAGAAATCAAGCTCGTACCGTAAACTCATTCGACCAAAACTTTCTCCGAGTCGATCAATATTAGCTCATATCATTTTTTTTGTCAAATGATAGATTTTATCAAATTTAATGTTAGATTAATTACCAACAGAATTTGAACCCACGTAGTCATGCAAAGACACACAACTTTCCACCACTGTAGTAAAAGGCCACCCGCGATATTAGCTCATATCACAAGACATGAAAATATTACCAAAACAATAACTATCTTAAAACACATCAAAAGAGTCGGGCACGGTAAAATAAGGGAAATATCGTCCCAAAAGACTTCCAAATAACACCGTAAATCATTCAAATTAAACACGATTGAAGTCTTCAACTGCCAAAATTTCAAACGCATAACATATATTGTCTTCCTGAAAGTACGCGGATAACAACCATACATAAGGTAACCTGACTGAAATCAACGGTAACGACGGAGTGAAAGGGTGGTGTTTCTCTTCCAGGTTGCTCTGCGAGAAGGTCTGTTCTTGTGGTACAGATGTCCCTTTCCACGAAGACCCCTGTATTTCTTTCCAGCAGAAGTAAGACCACGAAGCTCTCTGTGCTTATGAACAGGGTTGCAAAGCCAGTTGATTCTTGGGTCATTCCTGATGGCATTGTGGGCAACATCAACCAAGATAACTTCAAAGTACTTGTAGGTCGAGTCCTGCATCCAAATATTGCAGAGAAATTGTAAGCAAGACTGCAAAATCAAACTAACACCAAGCCCCAATCTAACTCACTCAAGTACATGAGTAAAAGTTGAAACTGAACCACGAACCTCATTGAGCCAGTATGAGTTGAGAACCCTGAGACCTCCCAACTTGCGCCCTGCACGCTCCTCAGCAACAGACCTCTTGCTACGCTGGAACTTGAGCTGTGTCACACCCTGGTTTGTGGGCTTTCCATATACAATACCCTTGGAAACAGGCCTCTTGCGGCCACCACGCCTCACACGGACACGGTAAACAACATAACCCTGAAACAAATTTTAATCAGAACCATCAGCCAAATCACTTGATTACTTCAAACATGGCTGGGGACCAGCAAACAAAAGGTGCATTCAAACAGATAACAAACTAGTGTTCATAAATTAAAAGACAAAAAACAAAAACAAAATCCAGGACACCGACTACAATAGTTCACTATATCGAATCGAGGCAAAAGCAAGAACCATAAATAGAACTCGCTCGGTCGAAGATTGATTATTTGGTTTAGTATAGCCAGTCTCAGGAAGCATTCGATGATTGAAAAAACAGCATTTATAGGCAAAATGCTTAGGAATCAGAATGCTACTTAACCAGTGGATACTCTGGATTAAATTAACTGATGCACAACAAAGGCAAAGCAATGTACTAGAGACGGCATGCATGCTCGCTAAAACAATGACATGAATCATTAAGCAAAGGTGTAAACCGAAACTGAAAGACCACTAAATATGCATCAGATAAAACAGTAACCTTCCAGACACAACCTTTATAATCATTTCATAGAGTCAAATATCAACATACATTATGCATCAGACAAATGCCTATTAAACTTAGACATTGACGTAGAAAATTTAATTTGACAATGGCTAATGAAATTATCACTACCTGCTTGGCCTTGTAACCTAAACGACGCGCCTTATCAGGGCGTGTGGGTCTTGTGACTCGGACAATCGAGGGATGTTGGCGATACTCCCAGCAGCGGACCCTCTGGAGGAATCTCATCACATCGGACTGCTTCTTCCTCCATATCTCGGATACGTACTTGTAAGCTCCTAAATGTCCCCAAAACGAAACAACATGTTATACAACTGAATTTGATAGAAATCATTAAACCCACCATTAACCATGTAATAATCAAAGTTCTGATTTCATTTAAACCGTGAAATGTGGTGCATTTCCTAGAAAAATGTAGGGAACAAGAGACAGACGAACTTGTCAGCTAACCGTCAAGCAAAAACCAAACCCAGTTCACAATAACTTGTAAATTTGCAAAAGTAAGCTTCCGTTCACTTATAAAACTATCAGTAAAAGTGAAATTATTACTAAACATATAAGCTCATTAGCCCGTACTAAGATTAAACAACAAAACAGACCCTAAACACAATGCTCCAAAAAGATTTACAGAAAATTACAACGTTAATATATTGGCAAAAATGAGTATTTCATAAACAATCGCATGCAAAACAGATTCAGCTGAAGTTTCAATGTCTATATAAACAAGCATGAATCTGCATACGAAAATGGAGATGAACCTAGAGAGAGAGAGAGAGAGAGAGAGAGAGAGGAGTACCCATGGTCGGATCAGAAACGAGCTGCGACGCGCAGGGTTCGGCAGACGGGGCTAGGGTTTTTCCAAACACAGAGTGAGGCTTTGCGGTGAAAACTCGACTTTATAGTGCTGGAAAGGATTGGGATTTCCAATCTGGGCCGTCCATTGTTTTTCTGAAACCCTAGAATGTCTTCAGAAATACGATGTGTCGTAGCTTGCTAAACGACATCATGTTTCTCGGTTTTTAACCGGATTTTCTTTATTTTAATGTGGCCCAGCAACTCAAGGGCTTTCCTCTATTGGACTTGGACTTTTGAAAGTGCTTTAAGAAATGTTTTTGGTAAACATATTTCCGAAACAATCCAATTACAATGCTTTTGAAATCCAAAAATATTTCATCTTTGAATTTATTTAGTCTAAATCTTCCTACAAGACATTTCTTCTCCTTCTTCTTCTTCTTCTTCTATTAGGGGATAAGAGAGTGAAAATCATTTCCTTAAGTGTATGTTTTATCTAAACGTTTTGTTGCCCGATAATCCTAGTTGGCCATTTGTTGTACTCATTTCAACTTTTATCTCTCTAACAACAATAATATTATAGGCCCTGCTAACGCAAGGTTGGCGAGCACCTATTCAAATAGTAGTTTTTGACCGCTTGAGGCAAGTTAGCAAACTGACAACTTTGTAACACGAAGCTCCATGGTCAAACTTATTCAAATGTCAACTCCAAGTCACGTGTTTGGCCATTAGTGATAGAGAAGCCTATGAAGAGACATAAAGGTTGTCAGAGCAAGCATTTGGGTAGGCGGTTCCTCAACTACTTAAGACTGAGGGAAGCGTACATGCTGGCCCAGAAAACCTTGCGCCTAGTTTTGAGAAAGTGCCACTCCATCTCTCTATGTCGACTAAATGAAGAGAAGTCGTCAGCGAGTTAAGTTTAAGTGTTAAGATTTTTTATGCCAGAGCGGTGGAATACTGGAGAACCTAGGGATTTTGGGACCCATTGAAGGCCTATATAAGGGAGGCACGAAAGGAAAAAAGGAGGACGATATAACCGAGCTCATCTTGTAACCTATACCTAATATATACAAAGCACTACAGCCGACGTAGCCCAAATTTTAAGGGTGCACTTAAACTTTGTTGTCAATTTCATATAGTCTTTATCCCAAGCCCACCAAAGGCCAACTATATTCATCTTTGTTGACCTCCAAATTTTAAGTATTAACTGGCACAAACTACTTTTATCACCAAAATGACTCCTCAAATTGTGTTAGTTGTTTTAATCAAATGAGATTGAAGGTTCGCATTTGAAAAAAATTCAAGAACTAGAATGAATCAGTCGACCACTTTAGGCTAACTGAAATAACAGCTCGGCTTGGTTGATTTGCTGATATTCAACGACATGAATATCCATTGGTGAAAATTTGGTTTGCGGGAGTGAGAAAAGCGTCATTTCCAAATCTTGAAAAATAAGTAAAAAAACATTGTTTGTGTTTTGAAATTTTTATTTTTTTTGTAAAGTTACACTTATCATATATTTGTACCATATTTTTAATTGAGATAGGCTCATCAACATATGTAAGTCTTATCAGAAATAGTACAAATATGTGATCAGTATATATTAGGTTTCTTTGTATTTCCATGTAAAGCAAATCACATCGAAAAATTGGCGAAATTAAAACATAATTCATAAAATAAAATAGAAAAAACCAAGAGGCAATCAGGAACTTCAAGACTGAGTAATTTTATTTATATTTGTAATTTTTGGGTTTTTAAGATACGCAAAAAACATCGGATACGAAATATCAAGCATCAACAAAAAACACGAAAACATACATTCGGCCCCCGAAACAACTCCCGATTGGGCTTCTTTACAAATACAGTACAACACCCAGCGCCTCAAAGGGCCCAACACCAATACGTTAAGTGAGTGGGGCCGAACGAGGTCGTTCTCGGAGAAAGCCAACTTCGGCGTTACCCAAAACACTATCTCTGCCTGCGATCCCGATCCCTGCCTCCTCTCGAGCGCCTGGAGGGCTCTTCCTGCTCGGCGGCCTGCGGCGGCGAAGCCTCGTACCTCGACGGCTTCCTCTTGAAGTGCCGATCGTCATCGCTCGACTCGTACTCCATGGAAGCAGCACTGATCATAGTCTTTCTGCTTCCAGTTCCGCTGCTCGCAGCCTTGGCCGTCGACGACGACTTGTACTCGTCGTAGAACCCATTCGCCAAGGACGACGACGACTCCTTGTGATGGTGATGCGCCGACGGTTTGGTATCCTCCGCCGCCGGAGAAGCAGTGGAGGATGAAGAGGCCTTCCGCTTCTTGCTCACTTCTCCCTCGGGAAAACTTATGCGAGAGAACACGCTTGCCTTGTGCTTCCGCTCCGCCGCGGCCGCCGCTTCTGCCGCAGCAGCTGATGCTGCAGAGGAGGCAGGTTTCGCCGATGCTGTCGTTTGGGCAGAAGGTTTGGCCGCGGACGACTCAGAACGGTGTCGTTTCTGGCGGGGATGATCCTCCTCATGGTCGTGCTCCCTCTCGCGTTCTCGATCTCGGTCCCGCTCGCGTTCCCTGTCGTGGTGGTGCTGCTCGGATTTTCTCTTTGGAGGACGTGGAGGCGGCTGTGGCTCCAGGTCACGTGGGTCACGTGAGGGCCTGCGTTCTGGAGATTGCCTCTCGTGTCGGTGACGGCGGTGCTGATTAGGATAGTCTGGGCTTGGTGATCGGGCCATTGACTTCTGCACCAACAAATAAGAATGAACCCAATAAGTCGACCATTGTAGTAATTTCCAACAAAATTTACCAAGCCGTTCCCATTTTACGTCCTTTTTTTGGGGTAATTATTACAGGTCCATCAAATTGCATTGCCCGGTTAAAATTCGGAGGATTTTATCTGACTTTCGTTAAACACGGCACTCTACTAAGAGACAAAGATGGGTTGTCAAGAACGCAAAGGAGGTAAAATGGGCAATTGGTCAAATCTAGAATGGATCGTACATTTTGGGGGTTTGCGAGGAGGAGAAGCATTACGAATTTTTACAAAATTTTAATAAAAAGTGACAACGAAGGGGTTTCCAACCAACAATGTCGGAAGTGATAGAATTTCCAGAAACGTTTTTGGTACCCCCGAATCAATGATCCTGCGAAAAATAATTTGGAAGCAACGGCATTCACAAGGCCGTAGGGTAACCCAGACCATAACAGAACTCCAAATTGACCGTTTCCCGGTCACCGTGACAAAGGCCAAACTAGAGTATATTCCCTCCACTTCATCTCCCCATGACCAAATAGAGCATGCGTTACCAAGAAAACAAATAATATAATGACGTAAAATTTAAAATTAAGAACCAAAGAAAAATAATTAAATGATAGGAAAACGAAAACCGGGGTAATAAAACATCCTAGACTCTTTGATCTTAACTGCAGCCACAATAGGTTTTCTATTGCCAACTTGGTGTCTGCTTGCCAAAATGCTGATAAAAACCATAAGCAGCTGCTGCAACACACAACAAATGATAACGAGAGAGGAAAATTGGCACGATAAAAGACGTACAGATTTGGATTTCATTGGAGGACCATCGCCACCGCTGCTAACTTCCCTTCTGTATTCCCTGTCTTTGGAGAACTCCCGGCTGATTAAAAAAAGATGAAACTCAATTAATTATTCAACCACGCTAAAATAGATACTTGCAGCTTTGGCGGAAACGCAACCAATTTCAATTTGAAATTCAATCTTTACCTTTGACCCTGTCTTTCATTTTCACGCTTCCTTCTCAAATCAGCTTTCCGAGCCTCAAATTCTTCTTTGCTCATGATGGGGGGTCCATTCATCCCATTCATCCCATTCATGCCATTCATGCCCATACCAAAGTCCGCAAGATCCCTGTATGAAGTTGAAGATTCAATACGAAACAAGGTTGTAGGGTCGACAGGAAGGCAAAAAAACATTGAATTGCAACTTGCAACCATAAAATGACACTTAAGGCAATGGTTCCACCTACAAACCTAAAAGATTGCGTAAAGGCTCCATAAGAAAAAACATTAACTTGCATATCCAATTTGAATAAAAAAATTCATAACACAAACACACCAACATATCATACCCGTTCACTATGAAATTCATGAGCATACCTCTGAGGCGGAACCATGGGCATCATATAACCTTGAGCACCAAATGGGTCCTGTGGACCAAGACCCCCAAATGGCATGTCAATGGGACCATAACCCATATACGGCATCGGACCACCATATGGTGTCATATATCCTTCCATGCCCATGCCAGGTTGCATGCCATTCCAGTATGGATTATAAGCAGCGGGGCCCATAGGCATCATATAGTTTTCGGCTGCAAGATCTTGAGGGTTTCTCCATTGCATGTCTGCGTTGAATGTAATCGTGTTATAAAATCTATAAAATCATGTATATAATTCAAACTTATAATTACTGCAGATAACTTGAATAGAAACCTCTATGTTTACAAAAACAAAATAAGAGAAAAGGCATACCATTCACAGGCACACGAATTTTCTTCTTTTTCCTTTTCTTTCCTGTTACAGAGATACAATGAAAAATAAATAAAAATAAGAGATCACTACAGATTCTTTTCAAGAAAAAATAATTTACTCAACACATCTATCCTCCACCTGCATGTCAAAAAAATAAGGTAACACAGAACTTGATTATGCACAAGGATAGAACCAGAGAACAATAATAACCAGACCACTACATTACCTGCCTCCCCAGAAGCCATCCTTTGCTGCACTTCCTCCTCAACCAGTGGAACACTACCTTGTGACGCTGGTTCCTTCACACTCATTGACTCACGCGTGGCTTCAGATGCATCAGCTACTTTTGTAGTTCTCACTCTCTCTAAAATCTGCTGCTGGGGAAGAACAGGCTTTACGTCATTTTCAGATTCAGGAAACTTTGGAGGTTCTTCATTCTGAGGTAACTGCTTTTCATCTCCTTTTGATGCAGCAGATACTGTAGGGGAAGGAATCTTGGGTTGTGGACAGCGAGCAGACTCCATATCTGAATGTTACAAATCATGAGTGTAATTATAAAAATGTTCTAGTCTAAATAGAAATAGAAGGCAGGTCACTGAAAAACAAACCTTGAACTTGGAAAGTACTCCCAGCATTGTCAGCACTACTGTTACCACCAGACTCCAAGATGCGATTGATTGTATCCCTCAGTGTCTTATTTGGCAGTAGATCATCTGCCAGTGTATTTGTAGCCCCACAGACACACACTGACTTGGACATAATGTAGTTCCTGATACCTGATTAACATATGAGCCATTGTAAACAAAGAAAATTGATATGGTAAATCATACTGGTACGACAATTCAGGATACACAATAAGATATCAAAAGGCCTCATCAAATTACCCAGATGAGGGTAAACCAAAAAGATCACAAGAGATCAAAGTTGAAATTCTTCCCTTAGAAGTCAAAATTTATACAATTAAACTTACATCATAACTTACACTTATCACAAAAGCTATTAAAGCAACACTTGCTCGTTAGCACAGCATCTTTCATCACTTCTTTGCACAACGGGCAGTGTAGCTCGGGCGGTAGATCACCAACAGAACGCGTAGATGGTAAACCTTCAATCTCTTTCTCAAAAGCAGCCCTATTTCCATATCAAAGGTAATCGTAAGTTTTTTATGAAACAAAAAAAAAATGGAAAATACGTCTATAAAATTTGTAACACCGGATTAGCTTACTCATTCGGCCTCAATACAGCTTTATCACCACTTGGCAACTTATATGAGCCATCCGGGTTTGCCATCAGCATGGACTTAGGAATTCCAGTGGGTGGCTTCACTCTTTTTATGTCAAAATTTGGATCACCATTCGTAGGGCAGTGCTGAATATAATGCCCTGAACACACATACAAATGCCAAATATCAGAATTTTCCTCATCTATTCACTTATCACAAAGCATCTGTTATCTTCTGAAAGGAGAAGGAAACTTGAACATACCAGGCACCTTACACCTGTGACAAATATAGCCCTGTGGAGGTGTTTTCCTCTCGAAGCCCCCTACTCCTCGACCTCAATCAAAGAAAAATTGATATCAGTTTCATTATGAAAATTTGAAAGAGAGGCAGAAATTCAATCAGCACTGATATGTTACGAAAAACAAAAATTATATAATCTAAAGAGACTCACCAATACCACGTCCATTCATCATTCTTCCACCCCTGCCAAAACCTCTACCAGGACCAAAGCCATCAGGACCTTGGCTGCAAAAACACAAAGATCATCCAACATTAGTGATAAGAAACCTATCATTATCATATCACAGTACACTAATGAAACTGAAAGCATCTTACTGTTGCCATTCCAAGGCTGGAGTGTCGATTAAAGCCTTAATCTTGCTATCTTCATCAGCTTTATCAGTTGGCTGCGCATCCATAGCCTGATAACTTGTCTGCACTGTCATCACTTCAGGAATTTCATACAAATCATCCCCATAATCATCCCAATCTGGATCACCAGGCTGCCAAGCCATAATAAACACAAGATCACTAAAACGTCTGGCACAAAGCAAAGCATAAACACACCAGTTAAAACCAAAGAAGATCAAGCGGCTGTTAAAACTTACATATTTCGTGGCAGATGATTCAGCCGCCGGAAAGCTAGTCCTTTCTGGTTCAGTGTCCACCTTATCTTCCACCTTTCGCCTACAACAAAAGAAATAAAAATAGCCTAACTTAACCAACCCTTGAAATCTGCCCTAGGGGTCATAAGAAACACAATCACCCTATCCAAGCACATGGCATAACTCCAACGAAGATGCAAAACAGGGACTACCCATGTCACAGATTCATTAAACACAAGAACAAAGTAATAATGCCAACTCTAAATTGATTATGGATTTTGCAACATAACTAAAGACGAGAAGTTAAAGGATCTGAGATAGTACTCTGAATCAGTAACAATAGGCATTGGAGGCCTTCCAGGTACACGGCGAATTAAAACTGACGTATTTTTTGGAATCAACATCGCTTCATCAAGATACTCTGAAATTACAAAACATAGCTCGTAAAGACTATAAAATATTGTAATGATATAATCCATGAAAGCAAGGATAAAAGCTACCAAAATTTGAATCCCAACATCACAACCCACAATTCCTAGGAAGTTTCTAGTCAGATTAACCATTCCTAAAGAACCCAGATTTCAACCTAACACAACCTGTCCCCACTCAGATTGACTCAATTCACCATAGAGAAATGTGGTGGTCGAATTTTTTTCATTCAATGACAAAAGTAAACCACCATACAAAGTCACTCTATTTTGAATTTCAAGGCAACCCCTAATCTTAATTATTCGAGAAAAACCCCAAAAGACAATTTTACAAATCCCCAAAACCATAGACCAACGATTTCGCCACTCAATCAGACAAACACACTCTCATACAACATGTTAGTACCCATATCCGTGATTAATTTCAACATGTTCAGAAGGTAATAACTAAATCAGAACCAACCTTCATTGGTCTGGGCATTGGTGACGACGAGGTCGTAATCAGTACCCCGCCCTAAGTGCTTGGATTCATATATTTTTTCTTTCAAAATACCAACTGCGATGAACGGGCCGTCCATAGGAATAGAATCATAATCTTTTGCACTCTTAAATTTATAATACACCGCCATGGTAAATATCTTTTTTTCTTTTCCTTCCAAAATATGAAATATGTATAACACCACAAACAAGAACAACAATCTCCCTGAAGAGAACGATATTCAAAGGCCGATAAAACTATACGGCCTTATATTCAAGGCCAAGAAAAAACTACTATCAAATCAAACAGTACAAAAAGTGCAAGCTCTTTTTTTTCTTCGATTATTCTACTGAGATCGAACAATCAAACCACCGCAAATGGAGAGACAGATTGACAGCTTTTCCGAAGCTTCTTCGCCGCCGCCAACCACAGCACCAATCTCAGCTCTTTCGATTCCAATCCTTCAGAAACCGATGTCGAACAGATGCGATGCTCGGAATTAAATTAGGTTCCTCCACCATCCGTCCGCCGCCGACCCAATCCTCCTCCGCCAACCGCCGCAATCAGAATCCAATTTCACAGATCTCGGTGAAATTAAAGAAAGCCCTCTCTCTGCGCTTATCAAAGCAAATAGTTCGAATTTCAGGACGAGTCTGAGAGAATCCGAAAACCTTGGTTGAAAACTCAATCGGATGTTTTGATTCGCCGATTGATTGATTGGATTGTGGCTTCGAAATCGCCGATTGATTGGGTTGCACGAACTCCAAGAAAGCTTCTGACACACCGAAATCGAGAAAATCAGAATCCGCCGGAGAGAATTCCCGTGAAATTGTGTAAGTGGCAGCGATCTACAAGATCTAGAGCGAGCTTTGTAGGCTGATGATCATGACGAACCGCCGGACTGCTAGGGTTTGCTTCTGGGAAATTTCAGAGCACCACAGAGACCGAGAGAGAGAGAGAAGAGAGCAATTGTAGTTGTAAGGGGGTTGGGTTTTTGTTATCTTCTCTCTCCTTTTCCGTTGCGGATAATCCTTGTGGGCCCAACGGCCCGTCGGACCGTTGACAGCTGTTGGCCCAGGTGAAAAACGCGTTTTACAAAATCGTGACCGTTGGAAAATCCTTGTGCCCAAAGTAAAACCGGATTGTGTGAATTGACGAAAAAGCCCATTTTCTTTTTCCACTGCGGTGAGGAGAGTAGTCATTGGAGTGAAGTGGGGAAACTGGGAGATTAAAGATTGCTTGCGTTCCACGAAACCAATTGAATGCTTCCGCCTTTCCTCATTCCATCAGGAAATAATGAAATTAATCAATCAATAAATTAAATTGGAACCCTAATTTCGCAATGCTCATACCACAATTAGAAACTTGCCCCTCTCTCGTTTTCTCAAAAGCTCTCAACTTTCATCTCTTCTGTTCTCAGAGATCAAAACCCTCATCACTGATCATACATTCGAGGAGGGGTTTGCCTCAGAGATTGTAAGTAGTTCTCTCAATTGGGTTCACGCTGAACTTGTTTTTCATCTTCGAAAAGGCGAAAACGCTCTGAATTTTGTCACAGATTTCTTTGGCTTTTGGGGTTCAGTTCCTTAAGAGTTAAGACCGGATCATGGACGAGTTTTTGGTTCTTGAGGAACTAGGCAGTGGATCTTTCGGGACGGTATTTAAGGCGTAGCACAAACCGACAGGTAAAATTGTTGCAATCAAGTATCTGAGGGTGAGATTCAGTTCCATTGAGCAGTGTCTAACACTACCGGAAGTTCAGTCCCTTTCCAAGCTCAAGCATCCCAACCTTGTCCAGTTGAAGAGTGTCTAACACTACCGGAAGTTCAGTCCCTTTCCTTGTCTTCGAGTATATGCAGAGCAGTCTCCTTGATCACATGGTCAAAAGGCAAACCAAATTCACCGAGGATGAAGTTCGAAGCATCTCCTTTCAGATGTTTCATGGCCTGGATTATATGCACAGAAATGGCTATTTCCACCGTGATTTGAAGCCCGCTAATGTCTTGGTTAACGATGGTTCCCATGTGGTCAAGATTGCAGATTTGGGTTCTGCTATGGAGATCGATTCACCCCCTCCCTATACAGACTACGTCACCACTCGCCCTTATCGAGCTCCTGAGGTGTTGCTTCAGTCAGGCCTCTACGGTCCTAAGGTCGATATGTGGGCAATGGGCGCCATCATCGCAGAGCTGTTTTCATTTCGGACTCTGTTTCCCGGTCAAAGTGCTGATGATCAGATGTTCAAGATTTGCAGCGTCATTGGCAGCCCAACTTGGGATACATGGCCAGAGGGACATATTCTTGCCCAAAACTTGAACTATGAGTTTCCACAATTTCGCAGTGTTGGTCTATCTGTGATGGTTCCTTCCGCAAGCAGATCTACCATCTAGCTGATTTCTTCCCTTTGTTCTTGGGACCCTTCCGCAAGGCCTACTGCTGCTGAAGCACTCGAGCATCCCTTCTTCGTTGGCAACCACAAGATTTCACGTGTCATCCCTTTGAGACAAAGCAATATTCTGCTTGCATCCAGTTCTCATATTTTCGTGTAGATTTGACAAGACTAATGGTAGTTAATTGCTATCGATTCATTAGCTTTCAAAAGCTACACATGTTGTTTTAACGACTAGTTTATTTGAATGTTCAAAGTTAAAGAGTGGCAGCAAGCCAAGTGCAAGTAATGTATGTATTATACAATTTTTGTAAGCTCTCATTAATCTGCAATAAATAGCTACCAATTCATTTCAATGAGTCACATTGGTGTGTTGAGATTTATCACAAAGGGCCTTGTAACAGTGTCACCGACATTGTCCTCCAAGTAATATTTTAGGAACTGCACCTATACAGTGTGGAAGTTTATCATAAAAGCCTTGGTGTAATTGAGAAGTAGAACCACGCAATATAAGACAACAATATATTTAGAGTGGAACTACATGTAAACATGAATGCACACCTCTCATAAGTTTCAACAATCTCAAACATAAGGAAAGAGTTTTTCTTTACATGGGATGATCAAAAGTGAAAACCAGCTACACCACATACACATAGGAGGAACTCTTTAGTCCAAACGCTTTTATATTAGCGCAAGACACAAGGGGGTGGGACCAAAAGAACGGGGGTAGGGCATTTTGTCATGTGGTCTGGTCGTTCGCACCCAAGAATTTGTCCATGTAATGCAGTAATTTGCAAGGAGGGGGTATTAATTAATAAATGCAGACACACTGGTAGGTAGGTTCAACGCCCTCCTCAACTGATATGATAACTTCATCCAAAAATGCCTGCAGCAACTGCATCAGGGAGGAGATTCTCCTTGTATTTCATTTATTTCCTCCCCGACTTTCCTTGTCTTTTTTCCTTTTTGTTCGTACTGAAACTCCGGATCTAATTCCCTCTTTACGGTGTTTTTCTCTGGACTTGTCAAATACAGTTGCTTCTGTTCGGACATACCTCAAGTTTATGTCTTGCGTTCTGGTGCACGGACTCCCTTGATTGAACTGATCATTTAGTTCCTGAATTTCCACTTCAACTCTTTCGTTTCGATTAGCCTTCCAACATTTCAGTAGGTGTCATCAAATACGTTTTCCCCTTCTTCTCAATCTTCTTGTCGACATACTTAAGCAAGTTCGTCTTTTGATGAGCCCACTGTGTCATCAATTACATTTTCCCCTTCTAATAAACTACAAACTTTACCACCAATGCCGGCGACGTCTATTTGGTTCAGTTTCAAGCGCAGTTCCTGCAAGTTCCATTTTACGAGAGCTGGTTTTTGTCCCTCCCTTCCATTGATTGCTTGTTTGAGGTTAGTTCTCGCAGACAACCAAACCTGTTAACATAAAAATAAAAGGTAAGTTATTATACGATAGCGTAGGTCAATTGCCGTTATAACAACGACACATCCAGGAACAAAATATGGCTTGCCCATCCTGGTCCGTTTTCACATTGCCTCGTGTAGAACGTCAGCCGCTGCTTCTGCCCACGAATATTTTGAATTTTTTTTCTGACGATCCTAGATAGAGACTTAAACCTATGTGGGGGTGGGGGCGGGGCGGATGTAGCCAAGTGGATCAAGGCAATGGACTATGAATCTACCACGCGATGGACCATTTGCTACAAAAACACCTAAAAAGACTTTTTTGGTATGGTATCCGATTGATGAAAACCAGGTTTAACTTTTGTGTTTTTTTTTTTTCAAAAACCTCGGCGATACGAGATAAATTTATTGATATGAACAAAAAAAAAAAGTTACACCTAATTAGGGGGTACACAAACCTTACCTTTATAAAGTAAGAAAAAACAAAAACAAGAAAAAAAGAAAGAAAGAGGGGTACATACACCTTACCCCTCTTGAAAAATAGCATACAAGAAAAAAGAGGGGGACATAAACCTTACCTCCCTTGAGAAAGAAAATACAAGAAAAAGAGGGGTGGATAAGGGACCAAACCCTTCTAAAATAAAACCTTAAATGTAGGAACCTGTAAGACAAGCTGCAAAACAAAAAAGGAAAATCCAAAAAGATTAGGTAAAAAAGAAAATCACACATTAAGAAGGGGAGGCAAACCTATAGCCCATCATGCCCAAGAAATCTGAATGCAGAAAAGGAAAAATCTCTATAAGAGGATCTGCGTGCCAAACAAGTGAAGACGAGAGAAGCTCTAAATTGGCTAATTTGTCAATAACTGCCTTTCCTTCTCGAAATGTATAAGAGCAATGGAATATCATGTTCTGTAATCGACAAATACAATTTTTCCAACAGGTCTGGAGTGACCAAGGAGGAGAAAAATAACCAAAAGCAAAATAAGATATCACACTAGAAGAGTCACTTTCAAGCCATAAAATTTTCCAACCCCGATCGTGAGCCTACTCCACATCAAGGATGACAGCATGAGGCTTCACATAGAAAGAAGTACAATGCCCTAAGCTTAGGAAAAACCACAAAGAAAATAACCTGCAAAATCTCGGAAAAGCCCACCACAAGCCGTGGGAACGAGATTACCTTTAGCAAGGCCATCAGTATTCACTTTGACCCAAGAAAATGGAAGGAGATGCCAAAGAACATGGACTATAGAAGGAGCTTTATAGGACCCTGTTGAGATTCCAAGAGAGACTAAAAGTTGTTTATCCAAAATACTACGTACATGCCCAGGAGTGAAAACTCCAACGTACCTAATCCACGCCAAAGTGGAATGACAAAGGTGTGAAAAGGAATGAGGCTTACTTTCAAACTTCACTTTATTACACATCTTCCAAATAGCCATTAATAAGAAAAACCATGATGCTAGCCAAACATTGCGAAGTTGTGGAGAAACCACTTTTACACAAAAGCAAGCCATAAATCCAAGAAGGAACCCATAAGTAGAAGAATAGTGGCAAATTGAATTGCAAGCCAACACCAAGTACATTGTGCAAATCCACAACTAAAAAATAAGTGCTAAATAGATTCAGAATTCTTGTAATGTAGTTAGCATATTGGAACCAGAGGTATACTTCGTTGCTGAAGTTGATCCTTTATTGAGAGCTTTTTGAAAAGAATCCTCCAAACTAAAATAGAGTAGCGAGGTGGAATGAAAGGACACCAAATAATAGAAGCCCAACTCTTAACATGAAATCGAGGACAAATCATATAAGAACTAAAAAACTCCAAATGTAGAAGCTTTCCAAATTAACATGTCCTTATCCTCATCAATTGGAAGATGCATCTCTAAAATCTTTGTAGCCAAGTCTAGAAAAGTAGTAGAAAAAAATAGAAGAAAAACCATTTTCCCATACGAATAATATTTTGAGTAAGAGATAGAGAAGGAACAAGCTCAATAGCACCAACGACCCTGATGAACGCTAACCCAACCTAAGTTCGAATTGTGAATGTCAGGTTAGGCCGAGTTCCATCCTTAGCGAAAAGAACAATTTACATGAAATGAATTCACCACCATTATAGTGTTCTGATCCAATAATATCATATCATAAGAAGAAGAAAAATTACACATGACATGACATTATTAAATTCAAACGTCACTCATTCCTTGGAAGATAGGGGACGAAATCTAATTTCCTCTAATATATTATGGCATTTGTAAAATTTGTTGACATGTCTAGAGACCATATAACAATAAGCAAAAACCGTACCTCCCACTCGTAGGGACCGACAGTCTGATTACGCAAATCACCAATTGGCGACTTTAATCCTATTTAATCTCTGGTTTTTTGGCAGATCATCAATCGGTGACTTCAAGAAGCAAACTAGATAATCGTCAATAAATTCAGGCGAGCAAAAGCCAACCGCTGCCGCCGCTCTTCCCATTTGTGCCTCCATGTATTAAGCTTCTTTATCCACCAATCACACACCACCAACCTCCATAACTGTTACCCTAGACAAATATTAAGATATTTAATATTTGATCTATAAAAATAAAAATAAAAAAGAAGAAAGAATTTTCAGACTGCAATCCAGAAGAGAAGATGATGGAGTTGGTCGTCGTCTTCATCGTGGCTTTGATATCCATCCCAACTTCACTTTCCGTACCCTTCATAGTCCTCCATGGTAATTTCCTGCTCTTTCTGTTTCATACTTGTCAATTTTCCTTTTAAAGAAATTATTCATATTTTGTTTGATAAATCTGTTTTTGTATCTGGGTTTTGCTTTATTTTTATGGGTTTTTGATATTATTGTTATTTTATGTACAAAAGTTGATTAATTGATGCTAAATAATGTTGGGTTGCTGTAATTTGCTTTATTAGAGATGGGTTTTGAGAACTAATTAGGAACTTGATTATGACCATTTTACCGAAGATGTTCAATTAGATACTAATATCCAAATGCCATCGGATGCAATGCATGGATTCATGGACTGAATCTATATGTGGAAGAAATCTTCTCAAAGTTCTATTTTCTGCATTTTTCTGTGTGGTAAAAAATCTTACATATAAAATAACTGTTACAAACGGCTGAGGAACATAATTGAACACGGAGATACAAACGGCTGTTACTTTTTCTTTCTGTAGCATGAACCAAATAGATTCTTTTTGAAGTTAATCACCAAGGCTGAGAAAATTACAAAACAAAATAACACGTTGAGCCAAAAAAGATAATAAAAACTGCTGCTGGATGGTTACCACTATATCTGTTGCTTGCCTGGGCATGCCACATCTAACTGCAGCAGAATAATTCGAATTACGAGGAAGATTTGGCATGTAAACAAGCCTCTAAAATTATGATTCAAGTGGTAAGTAGTCTCTCAAGAGAGAGTTAGTCTGTCTGAGTTTGAAAATGAACCCAATGTGCTTTTGTGAAGCATAGGTAGTATGATATATTTTTCATTTGATGATTGTCTCAGAACCTCCATGTTAGCCAATTAACTAGTGCATTCAATAAACTCTGCATAATCTAATGTACTGATTCAATCTTGACCCATGAGAATGACCTCACAAAGAAAATTTTGGAGTAGTGCAAGTGTTCTGTGTTGTATGTTTGAAAAGAAGTTTGACATTTATAGCGATACCTAGTTTCCTTTGAATTTGGTCAATCTAATATTACTTGTCAAGTGTTTTTGGTTGGATTATGAACATCATCCATTTTAGTTCTTCTTTTAGTCTCCCGGCCTTTATATATTTGAGTGGTTCTTTCCTGGATTTTGTTAACTTTGTAGATCATTGAAACTAAGAATTCGTTTCTTCTCTTACCATTATTTACTATTGCATTCTTACGCTATTTCTGCATTCTAATGCTTCATTCATCATGACAGGCATTGGAGATCAGTGCTCTAATAAAGGAGTTAAACAGTTTACCGAGCAACTGAGCAACTTTTCTGGTACTGAAGGATATTGCATGTATGGTCCATTATTTTCTTCTCAAGCCTGCTTACTTTTTCCCATTGCTATATGTTATCCTTCTAGAGCTGATTGCTCATAGTTTATTCATCACATTGTTTTTAACAACTTTTATATATGTTCATGTCAAGTTCTGATCCTGAGATTTATTTAACATATGGTTTTGCCTTCTTGATTTATAGAACAGTATGATAAGATACAACCTGATTTAAATACTCTTGGTGATGCGTAAATGGGAAGTCCACCCTTATGGTCTCTTACACGTTTTTTTTTTTTCAATTCTTGGGGGACATATGTAGTATGTAGTGTATTTTTCCATTAATATTGCTTGGATTTACCTTCCTGCAGAGAAGTTGGGGATGGAACGTGGGATTCCTGGTTTTTACCCCTTGACGAACAGGTAAAAACTAAAAAAATCAAGGCTTGTCATTTTATTGATGGTTCTTGATTTCCACTTGTAATCTGACTTTTGTTCTACATATTTGCAGACCAGAATCGTTTGTGATAAGGTGGTGAAGTTTTCCTGTTACCGTATAATGTTGGTCTGGCTTTTGAAGTTTCTGTGACTTTTGACTTTGTTACTACAACTACAGGTTAAAGAAAAGGAAGAACTGAGACAAGGTTACAACATTGTTGGTCTCTCCCAGGTATTATTATGATTGGATCTTTCTGTTTCTCACATATATTTACAGTAAATTAGATTTTTTATCAACTCAACTCAACTCCACAAATTAAGTTACCATGGCCGGAATAACATATTGACGTCCTTCCTCACCATTTCTCTTAGTAAATACATGTCATCACGTCCTTTCTTCCTCATCCACCTAACTGGTCCTTATTTATGTATTTTGTATTTGAATCAAATCACTCCTTGAGGTGATATCATCCGCCATCTTCACCCTAATGATTCTTGGCGTCTATGACTGTATTTTAGAACATTTGTCATTGTTCTGGCCATCAGTTAAGCTGTCGTTACGTTTCAATGTTGTCCTTATTAGATTCTATTTTATTCCCAAGTTTAGCAACTGGCTCATGGCTTTGTTGCTATATGTGGAATTATCTGGCATTACATTTTATTTTCTATCGTTTTCCATTTTTATGTTCTGATGGAGGTAGATTTCATTGTGGATATGCAATTATTTTATATTATGTAGCTGTCGTTGTCGTTTGATCTATGACAATTTTTTCACCATGTTTGATTGTTTTTTCAATACCTCAATGCTTATGAGTAAATGAATTGTATCTTATAATTTTGAGTTTTGATGCTCATGTAACTCTGCTCAATCGGTTCTTTCTCATAACTTTTTCTTTTTAATTTGACAGGGCAATTTGATAGGCCGAGGTGTGGTAGAATTTTGCGTCGATGGACCGCCTGTAAGATTCAATTTAACTAACTCTGCTAATTTCAAGTTTTCTCCACTGCTTTTCAAGTGACTACATGTATTGTTATAATAACAAAAATTGAATTCAGTTATCATACATGCAGTGAGCTACATGTATCCAACTCTTTAAAAATGCATAAGGAATGGTGTTATAAGTTCTTTAGGATTTTCGTATATTATTTTGGTGTGACGTAATAGCTCTTAGGATTATTTCTGGTCTCAGAGAAATTTTTAGTCGTATTTTTCTGTGGTGTGGTTTATAGGCAAATGCTTTATTAGGTTTATTGATCTTTCTTCCGTATCATTGTTTCTTTGGTTTAATGCTCGCACAGGATGATGTTTCAGTTCCTAAAATAAGCAGAGTTGACAATATGAAAATTTTTGTTTTTTCCATTATTGAAACAGGTCAAGAACTTTATCTCTTTAGGAGGACCTCATGCGGGTACTGCTTCTGTGCCTCTCTGCGGTGTAAGTATCATACTATCATCGTGGAATTTTAATCCCTCCCTATCCAAATGCTTTCTTCTTGCTGACATAGCTTCTGGTGAAGAATGTACATATATATAAATTACAATTGAACTTGCATAGTCGGATATTGCTTACAAAGTACCATCCTAGTAAGCTTGATGTTTCATCTTCCCAATTGTAGTAGTATGGTACCGGCCTGCTTCTCGCCCAAAAGAACTATATATTTATGTATAGGGGAAAGTTTATGCTATTATACAAGAGAGGATTAGCACTTTCTACAGTACTTTGTCGCAAATGGTTGCAGCAAACAGTATTTCCTACATCATTCTTTCAATTACATAAGATGAGAATATTTGAAAGCATTTTGTATGAAGTACATCTAAGAGTGAAATCTTCAATACAAAGATCCCACTGATATTCTGGTCATTTACTTAACTGTACTTTGCTGATTTCGCGGCGTATTTATATATTTGTGAGATTTTTGCAGAACTTTAATGTTTATATCAAAATATGTCTCAAATTAAGAGTTGTAAGGTATATAACTATCGAGGAACACTTCAAACTTGGTTGGAAATACTCTGTGACCTATTTGAGATGTGTTGATAATGCTAAGGGGCTTTGTTTTTGTGCCTCTGCAGTCTGGTATATTTTGCATCATTGTGAATAAGCTACTCAAATCAGAGATCTACACTGACTATATTCAAGTACGCATCTAATTCTGCCGATTCTTTCTTCTTGTCTCTATTACGGTTTCAACTTTCGTTCTCCTAGGTATATTTCTGATGGGGCCTCACCATCTTGATTGTGATTCTGAAAATGCAGGAACACTTGGCTCCCAGCGGTTATCTTAAATTACCAAATGTGAGTAGTGGCTAGAAATGAAACATTCGATACATTTAATGAGGTGTTTTTACTTCGTATACCTATGTTATAAATATATCAAGTAACCTTGCAATCGTAAATTCAATGGAATCAGCTGTCTGCTCATCCTGATCAACAGTTTCTTTCCAGGCAATGTCTGATTATTTAGGGAAATGCAAGTTTCTTCCGAAGCTCAACAACGAACTCCCTGGTGAGAAAAACTCGACCTACAAGGAAAGGTTTAGTAGCTTACAGAACCTGGTGCTTATCATGGTAAGTTGGAAAAATATATATCTTTGGTAACATTTCTTAGATCCTCAGAATAATTAGCCAAGTAAGCATGTACATTATTTCCATGTTAATTTCGTATTTCTGCAGTTTGAGCATGACACTGTTTTGATACCGAAGGAGACCGCGTGGTTTGGATATTACGAAGATGATAGCTTCAAATCAATTTTAAGTCCACAACAGGTAACAGAAGTGCAATAATACTAATACTAGTGTTAGAGACTTGATGCATTAGAAGATTTGCATTTACAATTAAGCATATGCATCTTCTTTGCTTTCACTTTTATGCAGACCGATCTGTTTACTGAGGACTGGATCGGTTTAAGAAACTTGGATGAAGCTGGGAGGGTCAAGTACATTAGCGTTGCAGGAGGTCATCTCGGAATCTCCACCAGCGACATGAAGAAGCACGTGGTGCCCTACTTGCAAGATTCAGCGTCGACGATGGATGGAAACAAGAAAGCTAGTTATACCAGGGCAAGTGGAGTTGAACATGGATTTGTGGAAAGCAATGAGAAGATGCAAGTAATGCCTGATTTTGATGAGAGAGCATCAACTGAAGATGTACCGGAAGGGTCGCTGTCGTACAGGTGGCCCTTACCAGTCAAGAATTTGTTCAGTGAACTTCTTGGACTCACAGAGGACAAGTCACTCCCTCGGCCTTGATGAACCTTAATTACGAAGTAACTCAAACTACTAAATCAAGAATTACACTGGGGTTTGTGGGTGGGGATGATTTATTTGTACAATAATTGCAATTTATTCCATGCCTATGTGACTGAAACCCTGCTAATATGTGGTTTAAGTTATTCTGTACAAAATTATGCAAAGGACAGATCTTGGTAAATAAAATTGCGTTCGGCATAAACACGCGCTTGATATTCCGCATGCATACGCCTTACACCTTACTGGAATCGCTCTAAACCACTTGAATTACAAACCGTACGTGTTTGTGTGCTACTTAATTTGGTTACCAAATAAATGTTCGAGGCAGCATTTGTTTGCATGAATTCGGGGAGAGATGATATATTCTGTATCTCCAATAGAATACAAGACGGATCACTTTCTAGTGAATTTTATGCATCATTATATAATTGAACCTTACGGGACAGAGGTTCAGGACCTAAGGAATACAGAAAGGCCTAGGAAGACTTTTGAAGAGACTCTTAAAAAAAGACTAGAAGTACTTAGATCTAACGGAAAACATGACACAAAACCAAGCACAATGGTATTTTTGGATTTATATAACTGACCCCACTTTGGGAAAAAGCTTTGTTGTTGTTGATGTACCATATAATTGAACCAAAATGCACAACTTTCCTTCATTTCGATTCAAGGTAGAAGTAGCGACTCAATTTTACTCAATTATTCCCACTTTCTGTACGATAAAGTATAAAGAAAAATAAAAGCTTAGCAAACAACTTGTATGCATTTTCTAAGGCTTCGCCTCAGTAGACTTGTATATCCACACTAATGCCGCTCAGACGATCAGCCCTCCTGCCCGAATTCTCTCCTGATATCTTCTGGTGGGCACCGAAGCGGAGCCACATACATGAGATTCTTGCAAGAGCTGCCTGACCGGCTACTCGCACCCGATAAACCACACTTAAGTCCGCCCAAATCTCACTTCCCACGGCGCCAGACTGGAAACTTGCATCATATCCTTCAAGATCTGATTCTGTTACCACTACCACAGAGCGTTCATCAAATGCAACTAGATTGTGTGAGGAAGCAGACTGAAGCGGTGCCATCATCAGATCTGGCAGGTGACTGTAAACAAAAGCTTTCTTCACCATTAAGTAGTAGTATTCCTGGACAGCCTGAAAAAAGGAACCATCAAATAGGAGATCAGGAAAAGTCAAATTCAAGGGTAGAATTAGATCATGCCACAGATCAGGTGTAAATTTAGTATTACAAGCAAATTGTTTGCACACTGATATTGATTTAACAACAAAAATGTAAATACAATGTTTCTCACTACACCAGGGGGACCAACAGAACGAAAAGGCATGAAACAGCAGTGAGACATATCAGCCCCCAATGCGAGTGCAAATCACAGATAAGTTGTACAAGTTACCTGCCACTGAGCAGAGGCTAAAAGCACCCTCGGCCGAATTGACTTTAGATAATCATAAGCAGATTCAGGTGTCATCTGCTTGTGATGGACCTATATAAAAAAATAAAATAAAAAAAAATAAAAAAACAGAAAAAAGAAAAAGATCAGTAAAGTTGGCAATCCTCGGAGTTATTGGTAATTTCAGAGCCTAGTACTAACCAGGTAACAGATTACAATGGTCGTACTACGCCCCCGTCCAGCTTTACAGTGAACATATGTTGTCTGTCCACTTAATGCATTTTCTTCTCGACAAAAACCAAAATGACAAAGAAATATATCAGATAAAGACTTCTTAGGAGAAAAAACAAAATCTTATCCTAGACTACTATCAACCATTTACACGAAAATGACAAGTTTGATCCCAGGATATATATAATGACTTAACACTAAACCTCCTAGTCCTTAATGAAAATTAAACAAATACAGATGAAATAAATCAAATAATTTTTTTATATTTACCCTTAAAGAGTAAATTTCAACAACAAACACCACTAAGCAGCTTAAAAATGACCAAAAGAAAAAGAGTCAATGAAAATCATCTCTTTTAAGTTTCTAAAATTTTGACTGATAAAACACGAGGCAGGTTAGATGGTCTATAATATTCAACGACCACCACCATACATCATAACTTATTTACACTGGAAAAATATAGGACAGCCTCACAATTGCACTGCGCCCTTGCATATTAGACTTATACTGGATGATTGTATTCAGCTTTAAAAGTTTCCTAACATGTCAACCGTATCTAGCCAATAACAGGCCTTCCAAGATGATCAAATCAGGTTCCAAGAATGCTTACCATGAATGAAGTCTACAGCACGACATGCATCACTGAGTGATGGTGCAAAGCAGTAGTCTCTTGTAGGAATCACCAGATGGTTAATGCCATGAGACTGCCACAAATTTAATAGAAACGCATAAAAATATGGTAACATAAACTACTGGGAAATACGGTAGACCACAAACATAAAGTATAAGAAAAACATAAAACAAATCCCCAAGTTTTGGTCCAGTACAGACATGAACCAAGTCAATTTTAATCCACATAATTCATAATTAATACATAACAATATTACAGAAAACACCAGTTAATCTGTCAGGTATTAAATATGTCATACAAAAAAAATAGACATCCTCACAAACAGCAACACCATTTCATGTGAGAGAAAAATGCATCAACTAATCTCCAAAAGCAAGTGAACTCTCACAATACAAATCTCAAGAATGATTCTGTGGTGTAACATGACTACAAGGAAAACCACTAACATGATAAAGAGATGTTGGAACCAGAGTCTCGTATGGCTCATTAAGTGTTATGACTCCACCAACTCCGACATCCTTTAAGCGAGGTACGTCAGTAGGGAATGGAACTGCACCTAACAATACAAACTGGAAACAAAATTATTAGAATTCAGACAGAGGAAAAAAAAAAAAAAATCAACAATAGATCTTATAAACACACGCAGAAGAAAAAGCCACATGTTTACATAAGCAAAATTTTTTGTTTGAAGATAATTTACTGGGTCTACATTATTACATAAACTATCAGCTAAGAAAAGAATTCCAAGCTCACATCACCGCACACAAAGAATCACATAAACCCCATTCATGAATTACATTAATAAGAGATAAGTTCAGTCATATAGTACTCGTAAGAGCTATCAAATCGAACTCAGAATCTAAATCAAACCCAACACCTAAACGTATATACTATATGGCAAGCGAAACCAATCTGTACACATTATAAAATACACATGACAAATACATAAATACAAAAATAGAACAATAAAATGAATTTGTACCTCATCAACCTTATCCCACCACCGAAACTCAGCCTGCAGCTTATTCCTAATGACATTGTAAAGCAGAGTCGGGTAAAACAACGCACGAGCTCCTGCACCGATCAAAACCCGCTTCGCATCCGACCGTGTGATACTCCTGCTATCAAAATCTCTATTTCCAGGGGACAAATTCCCCTTTTCCCCACTTCCAAATTCTCCTCCTTTCAATTCCTCAATATACATAGCCTCAGATTCAAACCCAACACAATCAATCACAATTACACACAAATTCAACAGAGAACCCTAAATTTTTCCCAAGTATTTACATACAAACAACCATTTACACAAAAAGCCCCATTAAAACCCTAAAATTTTCTTTTTTGTACCAAAAAAAAAAAAATCACAGGATCATACGAGAAAACCTATAATTTCTGCAACAGTGAGAGGAACAAAGGATCGGGAGCGAATTCGATTTGATAACGGAGAGACTGGAAACCATGGAAAAGCTCGCGACCATAATTTACGAAAAGGGAGACGATCGGAGAGAAAGGGAGAGACGATGAATACGATGAGGGATGCGATCAAGGATCGATGAAAGTTGGGGGGATCAAATGGGAATTAGTGAGATCTGGGGGAAACCCTAACCCTAAAAAATAAGAAATTGCTTGAAGGTGGGATAGGCTGAGGTTCTACTCCACCTTTCGCTCAACAAACTCTGAAAGCGGACGAACGAGAGAGAGATAAATTAATAAGAAGAGCGTAGAAAGAAGGAGATGGAGGGAAGGGATAGAGTCACGGGGGTGATTAAGGAGGGAGTTTGAAAAACGTGAGTAGGGGACACGTGGTGCGATTTGAGGGAATCAGGAGCATTTAGGAGGGTGGTGAGAAATTTTTTTAATTGTGACGGAAATACGAATGATACACTACGTATTTTTATGTAAGTGATAGAAAATTTTATTTTTTAAGTTATTAAATTTTTAAAACACATATCTCATCATTAGAATAGTGACACGTAGTGTACCACCTTGTATGCCCACATCACGTGTGCCGATCATACTGAAAAATCTCTCGTTGGTCGACAAGATATAGAGGATAATTGAAATTATGATGTGACTATTTTTCTATTTTTGTCGGTGTTTTTTAATTTCGTGGGTGTCAGCAAACAAACTACCCTACACCGCACACTTGTTAAACTTATGAGCTCAGCTCATTTTCTTACGTTGGCTAAATTGGGTTAACAGTTGCTGTTATAATAGTGTACTCGAAAGATAGTATTTATGGTAAAAGAATTAGGGTTTAAATTTTTATGGTGAAGGCTGTTAACAAATTTAACCTAAAAATAAAATTTTTATTCAATGTCCATTAAATGCAGGAATAAATATGTAAATATGTATTTTTGTAAAATTCAAATGAAATTTTCAAACAATTTCTAAACAATTCAATTGAAATTTCTAAAAAATTTTTGCATCAGGTTTTAATTTCCAAACAATTCAAAGTGCATTGAGTATCTTGGAGGCAATGAAAAATGGATGCAGCATCAAGTTTAGAAATGCACTTTGAATTGCCTCCAAGGTGCGTAACTGCACTTTGAATTGTCTAGAAGTTGAACCTGATGCATAAAGGTTTTGGAAATTTGAATTGAATTGTTTAGATTATTTTTGATAATTTGAATTGAATTTTGCAAAAATACATATTTAAATATTTATCCCTGCCATTAACGGGCATTAGATGAAAATCTCACTTTTAAGTTAAATTTGTTAACTGTCTTCACCATGAGGTTTAAATTCTAATTTTTTATTTTATTTTATCACATGAGCTATCTTCTAAATAACCTATCACCACAGAGACGAGTGAGTTGGGTTTTGGGTTGACCTCATAACTTTGATTTCTGACAAAAGGATGCAAGAGAGAGGTGAGAAGAGTGAGCTGGGTTTTGTACCATATTTTTTGTTTTTGCCAGAAAGTTCCATTTTTTCGGGCGACTTAAGCTTCGGCAAGCATAGTAAGGTAGGGTGTTTAGTTCCAAGTTCCTTCATCATTGATTTATGAAATAAATGGGTTGTTTGTAAGATGAATTGATACTTTGACGTTAATTTAGGATTTGTGTTTCATGTTGGGGTCTATGGGTTGTGGAACAAACTTTACTTTTTGATGTGCTACAAAACTAGAATGTAACGACCTGTCCCAAAAAACTACGGGTTTTATAATTTTAAAGGGAGGTTTAACAAAACATTCCCGGTACTATTCACTTTTAATGAAAAACCACATTTATACCTTTCCCTAGTATTATTCACTATACCTTTAAAAAGGGCTTTTCATTAAAAGGGAAGTTTTTTTTTACTTTTCATTAGTTTTCCTAATTTTAAAATGTGAAATTTTGAAAATGACCTTTGAGGTAAATGCATTGACTTTTGTTGACCGCCTTGTCGAGTCACGTAACATCCATTTTCTTGGCGTATCCTAGTAGCACTCATCGCTACGAACGCGTGGGCGTAAACGGAATGTAATTTGGAGTTATAATGAAGGAGTTATTAACGAATGAAGTTGAGGGCAAGATTGTAAATTTATTATTTTATGGAATGCTCCAGATTTTTGGAGCAAAATCTGGAAAGCCACGTGTGTGGGCCAGATTAAATGAAAGAAAAGATTGGCGGTGGAGATGGAAGATAAAAGAGAGAAAGGAGGGGGAACCGGACCAATTAGGAAATGGAGAAAATGAGAGAACCAATGGGGCAGAAGAAAAAGGAAGGGAAAGGAGAAAGTTGAGGAGGTAGCCGATCGGACCCCGACCCGTTTCCATGTAGTGATCTGGTCTCCGACCCGGTGTTCCCCGACTTTTCCGATGCTTTTCATGGCGTTTTCCTAGCTTTTCATGGCCAACCATCACCTGTAAACATCACTACGACATCCTCGCTATGAATTCCACCCCAAACTCGATGAGATTTGGTTTCATTCCATGGAGAATAGCACCGGTGGGTGCGACCGGTCTTACGACGGCGATCCGCCATTCTTGAAGCAAAATCAGCCAACCACCACCACCACCAATAGACTCTCCTCAACCTCAGGAACATAGCCCATGCATTGGTTGGGGCGTCGGAGCTTGTTTGGAGTCGAATCAAGACCACCTATTTCTAGCGTTTCCGACGGGTTCGTGGAGCTTTGAGGCTTTTTCTGGTCAAATTGGACTTGGCCATAGGTATGAAACTTGCTCTACTCATTGAGATCTTCATTTTCGTGACATCTAAGAATTTTTAGAAATAATTGATTTTTCCTGCGAGTCGGGGAGCCCAACAGCCATGTGTGGCGGCACGTGGCGGCAACACATGGGCCGAGACCCCACCTGACCTTCCTATGCTAAGTCTGATACTCCAATTACATAGGTGAAGTCTGATAAACGAAATTCCATTGTTTGGGTACAATTTCGCTAAGGTTTGCCACTTGATCTTTATTTGAATCGACGATCCAACCGTTGGATCGTCACCAAAATTTAGTAGGTTATTATTCAAATATTTAAGGGCAATAGGAACTAATGGATCGGGAATCCGACATGCGGATCTTCACGAATTGGATTCCTAAGTTCGTAAAATAAAATGTTGACCGCCACTTAAATTTACAATTGGCAAGATCCGACCGTTGGATCGTAATGAAACTTTAGTATGATGTTTTAGAAGCATAATGTGAATCTTTGGAAGTCACAGATTCGAAAGCTGTGATGTGGATCTTTCAGATCGGGTTATGTAGGGTTATGAAACCTATCGTTGATCTATGACCGACGGTTGACTTTTGGTCAATGGGTCTCAAATCATTCTAGAACGTCCTTGGGGATGTGTTTTATGTAAGTTACGTGTTCTATCGATAAGAATTATGAGACGTGATTGAATATTTGTTCTAGGCAACGATTGTGTGTGTGTGTATATACACACATATAAACTTTACGGTTTCTAGAAACATTTTTTTATATGGAACTATGCTTTGCTTGCCATGTCGTAAATAAGTTACATTTTAAATATTGCATTGTTACACTTGTGAATTGTATTGTGTGATGCTACGGAGACTCAGGTAAGCTTCAGGTGAGTATTATATGATTGAATGGGTTGTATTGCATTGGTATGCACACATTTATTTAGAGCTCATCATGGCTGCACCCCGATATTAATGCTCCCGCCCGGGGCTAGGGCCAGCCTTCACGTGATTGTTCACTTCCCACATTGCACACTCACATTGGATCTAAGTCTGGTGCCAGCCTGTCGTACAGACCACAATAGGTGATTTCGACTCATAGGTGACCCGCAAATTATCGCACAGCCTTCACGTGATCGTAGCACTTGAGCGTACATATTTATACCTAGCCTGTTGATACAGGTCACACTAGGTGACTCCGACTTGTGTGCTAGCCTAGATTGATGAGCTACAGGTCTAGTCATACAGGTCACGTTAGGTGACTCCGATTGGCATAATATTTTATATTGGTTTCACACCTGGCTTACATTTATTATTACTGAGATATTATGACATGACATACTTCAATTTTCGCTGCTCTTGTGTATTGGTTTTGATACCTACATAGTAGACTTATTTTCTGGAAACTATACGGGTTTTACGGGGAGGGGTTATAAATCTTTCAAAAGGTTTTTATTAAAACTTTATTTTTAGGCCCACTCACCCTTATTTTTCACTCCTCCAGGTATTAGTAGCAGAGTTTTCATACCAACGAGGATTAATGGCAAATCTTAGTGTAGGTGATTGTCATTGATGGTATAATTCTCACCCTATTTTACTGTACTTTTGATAGGAGCATATTCATGCTACTTAAATGGCTAGTTCTCGTGCATTTACGTTATGTTTCTTTAGTTATTTTAGTCCTTTATGCTTCTTTTGTGTGTTTTCAGGTTCTAAGAGGCTTAGGGAGCAAGAAAGTGCATTTTGAGGCTATTTGGAGCATTTTTGGGCATGGATTGGATAGCTTAATCATGGAGCAAAGAAGATGGACAAAATTGAAGCCTTGCATGCTCTTTAGGACATAAAACAAAGGGCCTAGCCCAATCAAACAATCCTTTGAGCCATGCAAAACCCCTAGCCCAATCAAACAATCCATCAATTCACATGCAAAACCACCATTCACACACATGCACCCAAACACTTCCTTGTTGCCGTGCCTTTCCCTTCCACTTTCCAACCTTTCCAAATGCAATTTCATCAACACATGCATTATTTATTCACTCTTCATCATTGCACTCATCACCAAAGAACTCCCCACCATTGCCGTGCATTCCCCCTAATTCCATCCATCCTCCACACCTTTCCAACCTAGCCACATCCTTTAATCATTCCCCCCTTTAAGTTATGATTTTATTTCCTAACCCTACATGCATTATTTATTAACTCTTCATCATGCATTCACATTTTAAATCATCAAAAACTTCACCCTTTGCTGTGGCCTTCATTCCCATTTCAGCATTCACATGTTTTTCCAACTCATCCACAAGCCTTTGTCGTGGCCTTCATTCCTAGCATTTCCAGCTTTTCCCTTTACATTTCACATGCATTCACACACACTTCACACAAACAACATTCACATGCAAACACAAGCTTTAACCAACAAACAAAACAGCCAACACATGCACCAAAACACCCATGCCGTGCACTTCACATTGAAATTCCAGCATCTTCACATGCAATTCCAGCTTTCACATGTTGTCCTAGCTATTTTTCCATC